GTTTACTCGTGGTTCCTAGAGTTTCCAAAAGCAGAATGGGAGGAAGATCTTCCAGTTATCAGGCTCCTCTCTTGTGGAACCAACTTCCTGTTTCTGTCTGTGAGGCTGACACATTGTCCAGTTTTAAGACTTTCCTTTTTGATAAATCCTATAGTTAGGGTTGGCTTGTTATGCTGCTATAGACTTGGACTACTAGAGGACAAATTGATCTCATTTCCTTAAATGAATTGTTAAAATTGAATAGTTGACCTGCCATTGTGTATCTGTTCTTACCAAACCCAGCCGGTCGAAGCAGATGGTCCTCTTGTCCTGAGCCTGGTTCTGCTAAAGGTTTCTTCCTCATGAGGGAGTTTTTCCTTTCCACTGTCGCCTTCATGCTCGCTCAAGATGAGAGTTCAGTGATGGAGTTAAACTCAAAGCTGCTCCTCAGATAAATAATGTTAAATTATTATTTTATATATGAATGTTTCTGTTCGGTGTCCTGAGACGACTTCTGTTGTGACTTGGCGCTGTATAAATAAACTGAACTGAATTGAATCTCGGTGTAAACATGAACCCAGGGTTTCATTTGTCGTCCATCAGATTAGGTGTTGTGTGATTTCCCATGCTGAGTTTTTACCACACATTCTGTGACCAAACTTTCTACCTTTCTGTTGAATCATGTCTAGCTGTTTTCAAAGATTTGCCTCAGAAAGCCGACCTCCTGCACCTCCCCTTTCATAGGTCAGCGTGTCATTGGCACTGATCCGTGTTTAGTTTATTTAGTTGAGTTGATGTTTATGTCATATCACCATCAGCGCTTGTTTTTGCAGTTAGCGGATAACAGCCTTTGCCTCAGACATACTGGTATCTGGTTTTTTTTTTTTTTTTAAGAAATGGACTCATCTGGACACAGCACATTTCCACCGTCTTCCTGTTTGTCTTCTTAGAGGAAAGCTCATTTGGTTTTTCTGAGTAAACTTTTGATTTATTTAACTTTTAATCAAATATTTTTGAGTTTGTTGTTGACATTCAATTCTAGACTAGTCCGTGTCTTGTTTTATGTTTTACTTGTGCTTGTTGGCGTTTAACGAAATGACTAAATTGCAGATTTGTTTTGCATTAAATGTGAGAAAACATCTACACAATGATCTGTCTGAACCCGCCTCAATAAACAAATAAAACCACTAAGTGGAATTCGGTGCCTTTTGGTTGGTCTTTTGATCTTCTATTCTGATTTAAAGTAGATAACGTAACTTGAGATGGTATTAGATAATAAAAGAATATATCCTGTTTTGGAACAATGTCTTTTATTTTTTTAATCAGACTTAGACGAGTTGAGTTTTCGTGTTGGCAGCTGCACCAGTCGCTCCACACGTGACTTTATTTCCGATGCCTCGCTGTCATGAGGGATGCCTTTGTGGAAAAATGTTTAGAGTCGTGTCGCCAGCACTCAGGAGAACTGTGTTCGTTCACTCTCACCCACTAAATGCGGCAGGTAGCAGCTTCAGCTCTTCCTCGTTGTGTTTGGGATCAGTTCTCGTCTGCAGACCTGTGAAGGTAAAATAAAGCTCAGGGTTACTGAGAAACAGCTTCTGCAGAACATCTGAACGCTTCCTGCGTGTCCATGTTGGGAAAACAAAGGCTGCGTCGTCCAAAAGTTCCCACGCTTCTTACAAACCCTGTAAACACGTATAAATGTCCGTGTCCTTCACCAGCATATTCAGCAAGGTGTTAACAACACCTGTTCGTTGTTGCAAAAACAAACACGCGAAGAACAGTTTAATATGTTAGCTGTTTCAGTCTCTGGTGCTTTTCACTTGATTAAAGACAAATTAGCTGTCAAAGTATGCAAATGATCGTGGGTTAATTCAACTGAAACGCATCAGGGTGTGTTACAAACGGCAAATAATCTTTTTTTATGACTTGATTTGGCGATCGCTTACAGAAATGTTCCCGTTAATGTTTAGACTATCTCGGCTCGTTTGTATTTTAGCACACTGATAAATTTACTCCCCGGAAATGACTTCACTTCTGTCGATTCTCGTCTCTACGGCTTTTAGTCGCCGTTTCTTGTCAGAAGAAGAAAGAAGAACTTTACCTTTTCACTTTCCACCTGGCGTCTGATTTAATTTCTCTGAATCTGTTTACATCCTGAGATTATTTTACTGACTTGGTATCCATTGTGCGTCAAAGTGCACCCGTCAATGATTGAATGTAAACAGACAACTCCTAATTGTTGGCAACAAAAACACTCAAACTAATCACTGCTGATGTCACTCATTTATTACAAGTTGTGTGGCAGAGCTTCTGAGTTTTTTTTTATTTATCATAAACAGTCCACATATACAAACATTTTAAAATGTTGGCTTTAATCAGTTTATTTGTTTTTAGTTGTCCCTTGTCGTGGAACAAAAGCGGAAACTGGAATCCATGTTGTGAGCGCGATAACTTGAAAAATAAGTGAGCGACCAACTTCCATTTTGGTATGTGGCTGCATTTAGCCGTAAAAAAGGTTCCTATGGAAAACTGGGTTGTCATGTCAAAATCCAAGATGTCTGCCACCATATTTATGTAATTTTTGTGAGGTGGATTAGGAAAAATAAGCAACAGGCCAACTTCCTTTTTGCTGTGTAGCTTCATCAAGGTGTAAGGTTCCTTTTGAAAACGGGATTGCCACGTTGTTTAAAACATTTGACAGCAACTGTGTCGTCCTTTTTATTAAAAAGCCGGGTCGGTGTTCCCCAAAACGTCTGTGCCACCGAAGACAAAAATTTATAACTATATAACTAAATGTCTTGTTGCTCGAATGTCACATGAGCTGTCCAGGGAATACTAGAGGTAACCTTTTGGCAGCAAAAGATCAGTGATAAATTTTAAGCTCCTACTGTTCGTGTAATCCTCATACAGCTGGTAAACTAATCTCACAGCATACTTCCAGAGCAGCAGCAGCAGATAGGATCACATAAAACTGCGTACTGGCTAAGTTGTAGGCATTCCTAGTAGCCAAGCATGCTGTGATTAGTGAAATATGAGGATATGCATAATAATCCAGCTCAGAGGATGCCGTCTCCACACGGAGCGCCCCCCCATCAGGGCGCATGCATGAAAAGAAAAGCAGCGAGCTTCAGGAGTTAGGGGCCTCACTGGGGGAGGGGAGGAACGAGATTAAACATGTTTTTATGTAATGAGGGTTTATAAAGGAGGGTAAAATAAAAGGTGGACAGAGGTGACTACACTGAGAGCAACAGCTGGACTGAAGGCGAAAGAAACCGGTTTATTATCCTGAAACGCAGCTTGAGGTTGAGATGTTGTTCAGCTGCAAGGTCATTGATGTGTGCCGTTTCAGAATATGTTACAAATTGCAGATTTTATTTTTTACCATTTCAGTTATTATTATTATTTTTTCACTGCTCCTTCTCATCAAAAGGATTCGGTGGAGGCGGTTCGAGCATCTGAGTAAGATGCTTTCTGAACACCTCTTTTTGGAGGTTTTCCAGGCGTGTCCCACAGGGAAGAGACTGGGGCAGACCCAGAACTCACTTGAGAGATTATGTACCCTTTCCAGCAGGAACTGAATCATGTTGCTGGGTGGAGGGATGTCTGGGTTTCTTTCTTGAACCTTTTGTCTGTACCACCCGACCACAGAAAATGATATAGGATGGATGGATGGATGGATGGATGGATGGATGGATGGATGGATTTTGTTTTGATCAACATGACAAACTTCTGAAACTGTTTACAAGAATTTAATTTTAAGAATTTAGTTTGTTTATCTGGGCGTCCAAATACTTCTATAAAACGTCTTCAGTTGATCCAAAATGCTGCTGCCAGAGTTTTAACTGGAGTTACTGGGAGAGATCACATCTCTCCAGTTTTAGCTTCTCTTCATTGGCTCCCTGTCAAATCCAGAATTGAATTCAAAATCTTACTTCTAACCTACAAAGCTCTCAACAACCTAGCTCCATCTTATATTAGAGATCTTATTGTTCCATATTTTCCTAACAGAGCACTTTGCTTTTAGACTGCAGGTTTACTTGTGGTTCCTAGAGTTTCCAAAAGCAGAATGGGAGGAAGATCTTTCAGTTCTCAGGCTCCTCTCTTGTGGAACCAACGTCCAGTTTTTGTCTGTAAAGCTGACACATTGTCCAGTTTAAGACTTTCCTTTTTGATAAATCCTATAGTTAGGGTTGGCTTGTTATGCTGCTATAGGCTTAGACTACTAGACAAATTGATCTCATTTCCTTAAATGAATTGTTAAAATTGAGTAGTTTATTTGATACTATTTCTATCTTAACATGTGATTCTTGCCCTGCCATTGTGTATCTGTTCCTACCAAACCCAGCCGTTAGAAGCAGATGGAGCTTGTCCTGAGCCTGGTTCTGCTAAAGGTTTCTTCCTCAGGAGGGAGTTTTTCCTCTCCACTGTCGCCTTCATGCTCGCTCAAGATGAGAGTTCAGTGATGGAGTTAAACTCAAAGCTGCTCCTCAGATAAATAATGTTAAATTATTGTTTTTATGTGTGAATGTTTCTGTTCAGTGCCCCGAGACGACTTCTGTTGTGACTTGGTGCTATATAAATAAACTGAACTGAATTGAAGAACATGGAGGAAAAATTGGACCAGTTGTTTATTTTGACCAGCAGACTGAAATTTTGCACAACATTGGAAGTGTAAACTTTAAGGAGTTTGCACTTTTCAAACTCCTCTTGAAATAAATTGGGGTTTTTTTTTCCAAGACCTCTCAACCATCAAATACATTTGACAAAAGCAATAATTAAAAGTCATCACTGAATCTGAGAAGACATAAAGTTGCTGACAAATAGCACTCAGTTAAGTGTTATTTCAAATAATATGATGAGTTCATAGCCAAGGACAATTTATCTGAATGCATAAATGTTAAGTCCAAAAGTAAAACATTTTCTGCAACAATAAATGTATTAATTTAATTAAACCTCGAAACAAAGAGAGGAGTTCCCTTCTTCCTGCATCGTAACGCTGACGATTGATTTTCTGTGTTCAGAGGATGGCGGACAAGACTGTGGACGGGGAGCCGTGGACGGGATGTGCCGTCATGTTTCTGAGGTCGCTCTTTCCTGACGTGGACATGCTCTCGCTCTACAAAGACCAAGAGGGAAAGTTCAACATTTTCAAAGTCCTCAAGCTCACTCTTATAGGTGAACACATTTGGATCGTCAGGCATAACTAGGTGTCCTAATGGAGGCACGCTCTTCCACAATGCCTTATTAATTAATCAGCTCTTCACTGTCAGATTCTGCAGGAGGTCTGGGTGGCTGCGAGATCCTAAAGGTCCACGATGCTGAGCCCTTCCTGGGGGTGGAGGTTAAATTTGTGGATGTGGCAGCATGCCAGCACTTCCTGGAGAGCTACAGCTCTGGAGCGGTGCGTCAGTCCCTTTGCCAGCACGCCTGCCGTCTTTTCGCTCTGCCTCAGGAGTTCGCTGTTGAAACCCAGCTCAAGGCCGGCACTCAAATCCTGGATCTGTGTCTGGAAGACCTGCAAGTCTGCCTGCAGCACATCCACCTTTCACAGGTACACTCAGCGTCTCTGTTGGACTTGAAATGGAGCGCCACGATGTCAGATATTCCACATTGCTTGTGGCTTAATAAACGAGTGGACATTTAATGTATTTATTTAGACAGCCCGAGTGGAAACCACAGCCAGCCAGCACCAAACGACCTGGTTATTGTAGCTAAATGTATATTTTATAACACATGCTACAATTAAATGTTGATGCAGTTGTGTTCGTTTATAAAAAATGAGGCAGACCTGCTGAAAACCTCCACATAAGTTTAAATTTTATTAGATCATGTTGTTTATGCGGTTCAGAGAGAATCACTGCGTTCCTGTGGTTGAATGTTTTTGATATTAAAGCTCTTGAAGTGCGTTTAATGGCTTTTGTTTCTTGTTTGTCTGGCGTCAGCCGGAGCGCCTGCGCGATGAGGAGATCGATCATCTGGAGCAGCAGCTGCAGAGTCAGGCCTTGGGTCCTACCCCTCAGACCACCACCACTCCACAGGAAGAGTCCCCACTCCCCAGCAACTGCTTCAAGTTTCAGAACCGAGTGTTTGGTGAGTCCAAACAACCACTTTTACTTTTCACTCTGAAATGAGTTTAGTAATCGGTAGAGAAATCACTTCTTCCAAATGAGTTTGGAAGGTGGTGCCCCGTAAATAAAACTGAACTGAAGCACGTCGGTCGTGTAACCCACTAGGTGGAAATCATTTCAGTCCCAGCACGGTTCTGGTTTGAGTGGTCTTCATGCTGGTGCTGCTGGACACTTGTTACAGGCCTCACCACGTGAGGTTTGTGAGTGGACGTTCGAAAAGCATTTTAAAATGCAACAAGCTGTCACATTCCTGTTTTCGTCTTCGTCTTTTGGTTCAAATCATGTCCGATGCGTTGAATTCACTGCTGTTTCAGCTTTCTCCAATACGTTCTTTAAAGAAACTGATTATAGTAGTTCCTCATTTATCGCGGTATATCCGTACCCTGAAGACCCGTGATAAGTGAAAAACTGCAATGTAGGACTAGTAGTACAAGTAGTAGTTTATTTTAGTATTTGTATGTGTATATATATATATATATATACGTTCCCACTGAGAATTGAACTCTGCCAAGGTTGCCCTTTGTCACCGATTCTGTTCATAACCTTTATGGACAGAATTTCTAGGCGCAGCCGAGGTGTTGAGGGGATCTGTTTTGGTGGCCTTAGGATCGCTTCTCTGTTTTTTGCAGATGATGTGGTCTTATTGGCTTCATCAGGTCGTGATCTGCAGCTTTCGCTGGAGCGGTTTGCAGAAGAGTGCGACGCGGCCGGGATGAGGATCAGTTCCTCCAAATCCGAGGTCATGGTCTTGAGCCTGAAAAGGGTAGAGTGCCCTCTCCATGTCAGGGAGGAGGTCCTGCCCCAAGTGGAGGAGTTCAAGTATCTTGGGGTCCTGTTCACGAATGAGGGAAAAATGGAGCGTGAGATCGATAGGCGGATAGGTGCAGCGTCTGCAGTGAAGCGGGCGCTGTACCGGTCTGTCGTGGTGAAGAGAGAGCTGAGTCAAAAGGCGAAGCTCTCAATTTACCGGTCGATCTACGTTCCTACCCTCATCTATGGTCACGAGCTTTGGGTTGAAAGAACGAGAACACGGATACAGGCGGCCGAAATGAGTTTTCTCCGCAGGGTGTCTGGGATAGGGTGAGAAGCTTGATCATCCGGGAGGGACTCAGAGTAGAGCTGCTACTTCTGCACATCAAGAGGAGCCAGTTGAGGTGGCTCGGGCGTCTGGTTACGATGCCTCCTGGACGCCTCCCTGGCGAGGTGTTTCGGACACGTCCCACCGGGAGGAGGTCCAGAGGAAGACCCAGGACACGCTGGAGGGACTACGTTTCTTGTTCCTTTTCTACACAGAATGTAGTTGACCTGCGTACTCCTTCCTCCACTCTTATAGGTCGCTCTATGTTCCTCCCTCTTTTGGAAATAGGCATTACTGGGAACAAAACGACTGCAGATTAAACCACAGTTTTATTGTTTGAAACCTCGTTCTTTTGTCCTCCGCTGTTTCAGCTTTCTTAACTTTTAACTACATACACAAAATGCTCTCCCAATCAGCTACAACTGCACAGAAAATGTGCGACAAAGCAGCCAAAGTCCAAAGGAAAACTTTATGTTGGTGAAGACCACTTTAACGTTGTGATGCAGTGCGTAAAGAAAACCTGCAATGTGGACACCAAGGCTGAGGAGCTGAGAGAGCACCTGAATATTGGAAATAAAAATAAAACTCAGGGAGCGAACAAAGAGCAAAATAAACAGGAACTTTAATTAGACCTGTCACGATAACAAATTTTGCTGGGCGATTAATTGTCTCAGAAATTATTGCGATAAATGATAATATTGTTTGAGAGTTGACAACAATTAGTAATTATTGTCAAATTTAAGAAGAAACGTCTAATTTGTTTTGCCTGTAGTACCTTTTTTCGACCACTGGATGACAGTATAAGACTGTGTAAACTGAAGGATGGATAGTGAGGGAGTGAGCAGCGTGTCTCGTTAAGAAAAATGGGAAGTAGGCCCCTTGACGTGACATGGGCGGTCTCTCTTTGGTTCTCAAAATGGCGGCCGCTCGGTGTTGTTTGAGCTCTTTAGCGTAGCATTTGTCACACAAAGCTTTTAATAAAAAAAATCAGTAAACAAGTTCTCAGCTTCTTTTCTCAGAGAGAAACTTTGACACGAAGGCACCGGTTTCAACCGTGAATTTTGGAGCTTCAACAAGACGGAGGTTTTTTCCCTGAGGTCGTCATGTTAGCTCGTAGCTTAGCTTCTCAGCTTAGTAGTAGAAAGAGAGAGACGCGATGAAACGATAAAGCTGATAAATGAAAATTAGGTTGATAATTTTCGTTTATCATGCGATTAATTGATTCATTGTTTATTGCGACAGACCTAACTTTAATAGAACCAGACTAAATATAGTGGGAGGGGTGATTACTGAGTGGAGACAGGTGAGCTGAATGCAGGTTAGACACATGATGATGAGTGGGACTGAACCACCAGGAAGTTTGACGAAACATTTACAGTTGCTGCTCCAAATCTGAGGAATAGTTTCTTCTTCATATACGGACTCTGAGGCTTTAATTTGCGCCGCAGTTGAAATCGTTTGTTTCTTTTTTCTGTGCTTCACTGTTTGCCGCACCAGAGGACCGGATGCTGACACCGGCGGATGTTCAGAGCTTCTCTAACGGCGTGGGCCGTCAGTGGAAGCGCGTAGGGAGGGCTCTGGGGAAGAGCTGCCGCGCTCTGAAGGGCCCGGCTATAGACAACCTGGCCTACGAGTACGAGAGAGAAGGGCTGTACGAGCAAGCCTATCAGCTGCTGAGCCGCTTCATCCAGGCGGAGGGGAGGGCAGCCCGGCTCAGCCGACTGGTCAGAGCTCTGGAGGACGGCAAACTCACCAGCCTGGCTGAGAACATTCTGGACATACAGCCCCGAGAGTAACTCTGAGTACGAGTCATGAAAACTGAAAGGACGGGTCCTCTGAGCACCAGGAGGGCGGACGTTGTCCTGCCTGCCTTAAAATCCAGTGTGACTGTTTGACACCTGTGGTCCTCATGTTTAAGATCTTTTCCAAGTGTGTGTGTGCGTGTGCGTGTGTGTGTGCGTGCGTGCGTGCGTGTGTGTGTGTGTGTGTGTGTGTGTGTGTGTGTGTGTGTGTGTGTG